CATAAAGTTCGTTTAGTTATATATTATATATCATATATATATATATATTATAAATTATATATTATATATATATTATATTATATATATAACTAAACGAACTTTATGGTTGTGCGGCAGTGAAGCATCAGTGCCAGCACTGATGTTGCTGCCATTGATGATGATGATGGTGAGGATGATGAGGGTCCGTGGTTCGAACCCGACCTCTGTCTCTCGACTTCCCCTGTCTAGACTTGCGCAACCTGGCAGTATCCCAGCCCTCATGCTTCCTTCGGGTGTCATAGAAACTAGGCATCGGAAAGGTGTTGCAGCCGGACGATACGACTGTGAAACGGAGGGGTACGTGGTATGCTCATCCTCTAGAGTTCGTTGTATGTGTACGTGAGCAACCTTCAACTGACCGGTTATAACTGTGTCTTCGCGGCTGTTACGACCGAAAAAGGTTCGCCTATTCGAGAAATCACTCGGAAAGGTCCTTCGTATGGTGGTTGTAAGAACCTTGTAACCGCATCGACGCGCATGGAAACAAAATCACATGTAGCAAGATCGAGATGCACTTGGATGGGCTTGGAGATTTGTAAAGTTGGCGAGGGACGGATGACATGCATGTACTGGTGGAGCCGGGAAGCACAGGACCTGGAATTCGTTTCACCAGTGGTTGAAGAGTCGACGGTTATTTCACCTGGGAGGCGTAAGGTGGTGTTGGTAAGCCGTGCAACTCAAGAATAAGAGGGAGACGTTCCGACCAGTGCGTACTAGAAGGGGCGATCAGCGATGGTTTGAATTCTCGATGGAAGCGTTCAATCATGTAGTTGGCAGCCGAACGGTGCGCGGTGGTTCGGAAGTGATCCGTATCGTTCGGAGTCGGGAAAGTGTTGACATGAATTGCGGACCTCGACTGGTCGTAATGCAGCGATCCAGTTATCGACAAAAGTTCTAGCAACACTATCTGCGCGTGAAACGGCTGACACAAGTACGCGCGCGAAACCTTTGGATGGTGGCGATGGTCTCTGGAAGTTTCGGAAGCGCGAGTCGAGCAGCTGGAAAATGCCAGGTAGAGAAATATTGTGTCGATGAATCTTGCTCTTCTGACAGTCGAGATATTGTACGGATGTCTGTTTTTCATATTTGGTAAGACGTATCTTCGTGACACGAGTTTGGCAGAACCCCGTATACTGGGATGACAGAGTGCGTGAAAGTGGTCAAATACAAGGCGTCCATATTTTTCAAGAACAAAAGACCAGGAACTTCCTGTGGATATCACAAACGATAAGACTGTCAGAGATAAGAAGTAATTTGACGAACTTTGGATGATGTAAGGCTAGAAAACGTCGGGAATTCGGGTCACGTCTGTTGAGCAGAGGCGATCATTTGTAGGTCAGTATAAGTCACTGCGATCTTATTTACTTCTATGCGGGAGAGAGCGTCTGCAGTGACATTGTCAGGGTGGTGCCTTTCAAAAGAGCGGCTGTGCTGGAGTTGCAAGCGGTGATAGCTTCGTCAGTGAGTTGTTACCGTTTGGTGTTTGCTTTGGGCAAGTCAGTTAGTGATACTAGAACCTTTGAGCACTGCGGAATAAATCTGCCACGGTAGTTGATCATACCCAAAAATCGACGAAGGCTTCGAATTGATTGAGGTAGGGGACGTCCTAAATGGCAGTAGTCTTTTAGACAACGGTCAGATCCCTTCGGGATTACTACGATAGCCGAGGAATCGGAGCTGGTCTGTAGCGAAAACACACCTGTCTGGGTTAATAGAGACACCACATTGTTGAAAAAGTCCGAAAACAGCTTGTAAGTGTGATTTGTATTCCTCAGTAGTTTTGCTTGTTACCAAGACATTGTTAAAGTAGACGAAAACGTAGTCTAAACTAAGCAGTACCTGACCTACGAGGCGCTGGAATGTTTAGGCGGCGTTCCGCAGACCGAAAGGTGCGCGTGTGAATTCGAACAGACCAAATGATGTGATCGTAGCTGTTTTGAGGATTTCATCCGGGGCAACTGGTTTATGGTAATACTCAAGGACGAGGTCGATTTTGGATAAAACGGGTTTACCCTGCAATTCCGGCGCAAAATCGTAGCATCTGGTAAAGGTGAGAGACGGTACGATAATTGAGTGCTCAGTCGCACTCTCCGCCAGTAGATCTGTTAGGGACCAAATGAGTTTGAAGTTCGGGTTATCTCGAGTTGCAGCGTGTGGTCAAACTCGGACTTGGCGATAAGTAGCTTCTCGGGTGTAGTCATCAAAGCTGAGGACGAATTGGAGGAACAGTGGTCAATAGTGCTCGACTGAATGTGACCGGATAAGACGCCTAAAGCAAACTGGGATAATTTCTGAGTAAATAGTCGAAAACGGGATATTTGAAGTGCATGTGACGTGTATACCGAGTGAGTATGATGAGGCGTCGACCTATATCGATAGAACGGAAAGCGCCGTTTGAAAATCCAGAAGCTTCTGCCTTTTGATATAGACGGTTGTTGGTGGGAAAATCGGTACCGATTACTGGGGCTTGAACGTCGGCGACAGTGAAAATCCAGGGAAACGAATGGCGAAGGCCGAGGTTAAGCGTCAGGGACTTACGTAGCTATGCAAGTTCGTTGACCGCCTGTAACGTCGTCAGTGGCGTTTGAAGGTTCCGGTAGGAATAACGCTAAATTCTGCACCGGCACCGACGACGAATCACATTCCGGTGGTCCGCAGTATGAGTGGCTGGGTGACGGGCCAGTGGCATCTGTCGCCAATACTGTCTGGTCAGTTGGTTTCCTTGGTTGACGGAAGACGTACGCACACGGAGGTGTACAACGTAAGACCTTGTTTTGGATCTTGGTATGGTAAAAACAGAAGCCGCCATGATCCCGTGATGAGGAGCGCGTTTCACGGAAAAGTGATCGCAAGTTGTACGGTGTGGCAGCCTGTTTCAATGTGGTAACCATTCCATAACATTGGCTACGAGCTGGTCGAGATGGCCCAAGTGGTTAGAGCGCGAATTTACTGACCGGAAGGTCCGTGGTTCGAACCCGACCTTTGCCTCTTTACTTTCCCCGTCTAGGCTTGGGCAACTTGGCAGTATCCCAGCCCTCGTGCTCGGGTAGCATGGCAGTTAGGCACCTGAAGGGTGCTACAGCTGAACGATACGAGCTGGTCGAATTGCGTTTGCATCCGATCGGGTCGTTTCAGAAAAGGGTTACCGCTGAACTGACTGAGTTATTATGAGGTTGAAACAATTGCACGAGTTGAGAAGCATTCGTTCATTTAGTCCGATGTCTCCGCGAGTGACGACAGCGGGACATCAGATTGGGTGGTTAGTAGTTGGCGTGTATTCACAGGAAGAAAGTACATCCACAGCTACCTTAAAATCGAGTCTTTGAACGACTTGCTGCAAGCCAAACCTTGCATGTGATAGCCCAGATCGACTTCTGAAAGCAATTTCTAGAGATTAGCTCCATCGGAGGTTGTTTTCCGTCTAATTATGGCTGCCTCAAGTGTGTTGTAGGGATCCAAAGCTGGCAAGGGATCAATTAGGTCAACAACCTCCGCGGCAACTTCACTGGGATGCTGGAAGGTCACGGTCAGTTGTGAGGTGATGTGACGGAAGTGGAATTAACAATCCGTTTGAATGAATCGCACTCTGAGGTTATCAACGCCAAAAGTTGGGAGTTTCATATGAAGGGAGAACGAGATGACTCAGTGGTTAGAACGCGAATTTACTGACCGGAAGGTCCGTTGTTCGAATCCGACCTCTGCCTCTCGACTTCTCTCGTCTAGGCTTGAGTAACGTGACAGTATCCCAGCCCTCATGCTTCCTCCGGGTGGCATGGTAGTTAGGCACCGGAAGGGTGCTACAGCTGAACGACTCAAGTGGACAGAACTTTCACCCAAGTCAGCTTTGAGTTCGTCCTCATTAGACATGGCTGAACTAATGAGATACTGGACTAAGTAAGCGCGTACGAGAGCGATGGGAGAACTGAGCTACCAGAAAAAATAGAACAAAGCAAAATAAGACGGGCTCAACAACTATGTAGTAAGTAACGACCCTATGGAGTCTCTGGTGGACAGAGCAAACTATGAATGTAATTCAGACATAATGTCACAAGGAAAACAATCCAAGGAAATATTGACTCACAGTTCACCAGAGGGAATTCCGAAGGTCCGTATTCCGTCGTACCACCACACCCAGAAGAGGTTCTATTTTCCTGGCATTCCAAACCTCCGGTAGGCGCAATATTAGTCCACTGATGTGAATAGATAGGTCCAGTATTTTCAGCTAAAATTTTTGTTCACGTTGGGAATTAGTGATAGTCAAAACTGTTCAATCTCCAGTCACAACAACAGTCACTCGAGTGGTAGTAACGTACCACCCCTAGTTGCCACCGATCATCATCGGTGGCGTGTTTAGTGGGTCAGCAAGAGGTGCAAAGTCCCGTTGAGCCCGGGAGCTTCACCAAAGCAAACTTTGCGTAATCATGTGACTAACATTGACAGACAGAAAAGAAATGATACCGAGCAAAAAAATAACAGTTTACAAGTGCTACAACTCATGTATGTGGGTTGAGATATGGCTGCGGACACGAGGGGACAGCTGAGTTGTTGACCGAATTCCTTGGCCCAATTTCCACCGCATCTACATAGTCCAGTTCTGTCCGGAGGCCAGCCGTGCTTGACAACCGAACATCACTTCGATTGGACGGATGTCAGGTGCGGACTACGGAGTAAACGAGTTCATGCCTTGACTGATTCGAATGCCAGACAATCTGGATCATCTGTTGCTTGGCACTTCTCGCCCCCTCATGGAGATTCTAGCGCGACCGTGAACAACATTCTACTTCGATCTTATTTGTCGTCATAAAGGACTGTCTCGGGATACCGTGTCTCTTGATCTACCGACCGGCGTCACGTCAGAAATTGGTTTAGGTCTTGCTCGTTCAAATTTGTGAAAGAATTCTTTCTCTGTTTAATCTGTTTACAGAGTTGAAATGTGTCATTTTATTGAATTTTTCACTCCAACATAATATAATGTGGAGATCTCTCCCAGACTGCACTCCATCCCTGAAGTGTACCCACTTACTCTCACTCATTAGCTAGACTATTACACGCTGCTCTCCACAACAGCTGTCGGTGGGTCACAACAGATGTCCATCGAATGTTAGATTTAGAAAGCAATGTCAAGCTTGCTGGGCCTGACACCATTTTAAATGTACGGTTTGCAGGACGATCAGATAAGCCGAGTGTCTATCTCTCCTGACCCATTTACCTGCGCCAGCCGCGTTCCACGACAAACAAGACGACTGTCGAAACCAAAACCGAGCCTTCACTTTTGAGTGGGAAAGACCAGTGCGAATATTCTGTCTTAATCAGATACTCGAAAACACTGATATTCCTTTTCTAAGCTCTGGAAGACTCAAACGCAAAGAACAGAGCGAATTGAACGAAAACCAATGACGAACGTTCCGCCCTAAACGAGTACTTAGCGCTATCTATTCCGGGTCGGTTGGCTGCGAAGAAGGTTATTCAGCTTTCTGATTCGGCAATCAAGACCGCCATGGCGCCTCTAGTGGATATACGCAAAAGGGAGGAGGCTGATCATCTGGGGGTCGTGCTCCAGAATATTCAAGTCAACAAAACTGGCACAGTAGCTCCTTGGTGGTATCGTCAAAAAGCCTTAATACGAACACCGCTATCAGTGCACTTGAAAACTTGTACGTTCAAAGCCTTAATACGAACACCTTCACGCATGATGGTTACGCAAAAAGTGATGCAACTCAGCGCCTGGGCTTCTAGTCACCCTTTCCTTCCCGTACAGAGGATCTTCGAGCGGACTGTCCACACTCAAAGAGCCTACCCATTCCAAAGAACATAATTTCTGCTGGCCGTCTTCTACAAACATGCAAAGACAGCAGCCAAGATGTTGATCAGTTTGTTCAAAGACCTAGACCCTTGGCCGAAAGTTGAGATTCCAAGGCGGTATTAACCATCAATCAACAAAATGGAATTGCATGCGATGCCCCGATCGACGGGCTTCAGTCTGCTACCATCAGAGGACTTCTGGCTCAAAATGAACTCACTCTGGATGAAGCACATGAATTGGCTAAGTCAACAGAATTTGCCAGCAAACAAGCTTAGTCATACTTGCATAACCAACCGACATCATTTTCTGCGGCTGCAGCACCTTCACAGACATCTACGGTTACTCCATCACACTCAATCTCCATGATTCCACACATTATCTCTCGTCGATCAATTATCAGATGTTACTTTTGCCGTCGTTCAAGAAATCCACAATCCATAAGCTCCTCAAGAGAAGCGGTATATAAATAATGTGGCTAAATAAGCTCTTTTTAGTGTGTTTGTCGATCCATCAAACATCACTCATTGCACGCCGCATTCTGCCTCATCCTCTCCGTTGACTGCCGCAGCCTTGAACTGCCTGTACCACATGGTAACCAGAATAAAGGTACACGAAATATCGTTTCAGGCCCTCATGGACATAGGAAGTTTGATAGTTCATCCACATGGCTGGAAGAGGTATGCTAACGATTCTATGATTATCATGGCATCTGCCTCTCTGACGTATTCAGCTAACGGCTACTGCTAAACACCTACAGAGTGCAGAGGTACTGATCACAAAAAATCAAACTATTGGTGTTACCCAATCTATGTACCGACATGATGCTACGCCATGACTTCTGTGACCTGCATAACAAAGTTGAAATCACCTTCGGTGGCAACCTGGGTCAATTCACCCTCCGCGGTCTACCTGCTGCTACGGTTGAATAGCCCCATCTTTTTGCAAACCTATCGCCACGAAACCACGCCCTCATAACCCTGATAATGAATAGTCCATCCACTGTGAAGATGAAATCCACACCCAATTCACAAGTTCTAGGCAAGATTGGGCCAGCTGTGCCGAGACAAGCAGCGAAGTCTATCGACAGATCAATCACAAGCACTCATCTCGACGTCGGGGACTGCGGCAAGAACCCCAGTCACTAAAAATGCGAAACTGTCGGCCTCCAGCTCCACTCCGTCAAAAGCAGACTGTCCGATTGTGTATATACTCGTCAGTCATGACCACGATAGCCAAAACGACAAACCCGACGGCAGTATACTGGAAATTCTTACGTACACCGAAATGGTCACGCAAATCCTTGAACAGCAACAAATCCGCTCGTCCAAAAGGTGATATTGCAAGAGCTACAAGTAGCAGCCATCGAAACTTTCAATCATGAAAAGGAAAACTACGTCACTCAAAGGCAAAAAGCGCACAATACGGACTCTCCGTGGACAAAACTCGCCTGCCAACGAAGAGCAGTTCTCGGAAAAACAACGAAGGAACCAGACAAATGCGCCTCAAAAGCCCCTTCGAAGTCCTGGACTTAAACCCGGTGTAAAGCTATTAAATCTGTTGGCCTGTCCAGTAGCACACCTCCCGGCTCCCCACCACTGGACGCAGTAGAGGTGGTGTTGAGACGCCTATCCGCAAACTTCCTCAGTATGTTTAACAAAGTTCGCAATATTAGGCAGTCAGTTTCCCTTGAACGGCCGTCCATAATCGAGTTCACAGAGACCTGGCCCACATTAGACGTCTCTGGCGCGGAGGCCTCGAAAGACGGCTACTTTGTTTTTGGAGCTGACTCAAAACGATGGGGGCTGGTGTGTTTTCTTTATACTAACATGTGCCCCTGATTATACTTTGTGATGCACTGCGGATTAAAATCCTGCTATGTGAGACTGACTCTCTTCTTCTTGGCGTGGTCTACCGTTGTCCCTCGAGTCCAACGGAAGATAACCAGTTCCTCATACAAACCCTTGAGCAGCTCTCGACCAGCTATCATTTCACACATCCCTCGCTGGTAGATAACTTTAACGCTCCCAAAGCCTTCTGGGTCGAGCTCCAGTGCATCGGGTCTAGTGGACATCTTTTATCGGCGCTCATCGAAGTCGTTCAACAGAGCGCTCGGACGTAACATGTCGTGGCACCCACCAGATACCGCGCAGACCAACTGCCATCCCTGATGGGTTCGGTGATCACCAACGAAAGACGCTTCGTTGATCAAGTGTTAATTAAAGCTCTATTGAGATGTAGTGACTACTGTGTTGGACTTTTATTTTATCTGCTACTGGGCTAGAAATACGGAACCTCAAACGTGGATTCGTAACTTCTGCCGTGCATACTTCCCAGAAATGAGTAGCTTCCTTGAGCAATTTAAACTGAGACCAGCGTCAATGGAAGAGTTATACAGGACCATCGTCCTGAGAATTCAGGCGATGTTTGCCCAAAAGCAGTGCTTAGTCGGATAGACCTAAAAGGATTTGACGTCTTCTGGAAAAGGGGTTCCAATTATTAACCACAGGTGACACAGATGAGCTGGCATTTCGTAAAATGCGGGACCACCGTGAATCAGGAATCCGCCAACGGAACATATGAAAACAAGCCAAGATAGTATACATCGCGTGCTATTTAACTACATGAGACACCGCCGGAGAAATAAGCCAACCGTCTTCTCCTTGAGGGACAGGAACGGGGAACTAACAAGTGACACAATAATGGTATTTGAAGAACGATATGCATGCCTGTATTCTGCCCCCAGCGACCTCATTATATATAACCTTGTCGAGGCGCAACTACGAACGGCCTCTAACCGAATTGGTCTTCACGGAGGAGGACATTTGTCAGCTCTTGCACGAGACGAGCCCCTTCAGCGCGTTGGGGCCAGACGAAGTCCATCCAAGGATCCTGGAGGAAACGTCGCTCATGATGGCAAAGTATTTGTATCTGGTGTTTCGTTAGTCACTCGACAGAGACAACCTTCTCTCTGCTTGGAAGCGACTGTCACGCCAATATACAAGGCTGGTGACCTACTATCGTCCGATAGCTACAGGCCTATTAGTCTCATTAGGGTACCATGCAAGGTGATTAGACGCATTCTGAAACGGGCAAATTTAAACCACTTCACCTCCAACTTGATATCCCTAATATCACCTGCATTCCTTCCATCCTTGCGTGATGAATATGCTCGTACCTATTGACAGTTTGATCCAAACTAAGGACGACGGACTCACGTAGGATGCCATATTCTCCGACGTCTCAAAGATATTCGGTAGAGTCCCACACATCCCGCTGCTCCACAAGCTCGAGTCGTACGGGATTCAAGGAGAAATTTTCCGCTGGATTAAAGGCTCTTATAAGACAGAACATTCCGAAATAGGCTCAATCTACTCGTCTGCGTCGCCGGTATCCATTAGAGTTCCTTAGGTTCTGTTT